TGATACAGCAGTTGTCAGCTTCTACTGGTACTTTGAATCAACCCGTTCCGTCAATCAGTTTTAGAAATATTAGCCTTTGAAGAGCACCGAAAATTTCATCCATATAATGCAATACATTCAAATCTGGAATCACTTGCCCCTTAATAACTCATCATTAATTGTGCCTGGAGTGATGCAGCCACCTGTATGTGATAAGGCACATCTAATAGCTCCCACTGGTACTTAGAATCATTTTCTATCTCCATCTGTTTAAAATATAGCCCTTCAAACTCATTCCAGATTTGAATCTATGGTCCACTAAATAGTTGAGAATCTGGAATCATTTGGCCCCTTAATAACTCATCATTATTTGAGACTAGAGTGATGCAGCCACCTGTATGTGGTAAAGCACTTAATAGCTCCCACCGTACATGGAATGAGGTTCTCTCTCTTTCCGTCTTTGCAGAATTGGCCTTCAAAGTCATTCCAGATTTGAATCTATGGTCCACTAAATAGTGAGCATCTGAATCACTTTGCCCCTTATATAATCATTAATTTTTGCCGGAGTGATGCAGCCACCTGTAGTGATAAGGCACTCTAATAGCTCCACTGGTACTTAGAATCATTTTTTCTATCCATCTGTCTTTAAAATATAGCCCTTCAAACTCATTCCAGATTGAATCTATGGTCCACTAAATAGTTGAGAATCTGGAATCATTTGGCCCCTTAATAATCTTATTTGAGACTAGAGTGATGCAGCCACCTGTATGTGGTAAAGCACTCTAATAGCTCCACCGGTACATGGAATGAGGTTTCTCTCTTTCCGTCTTTGCAGAATTGGCCTTCAAAGTCATCAGATTGCATCTATGGTGCACTCAATAGATGAGAATCTGGAACGATTCTTCCCTTAATAACTCATCATTATTTGAGTAGAGCAATGAAGCCACTGTGTGTGGTAGGCACTCTTAAACCTCCCACTGGTACATGAATGAGGTTTCTCTCTTTCCGTCTTTGCAGAATTGGCCTTCAAAGTCATTCCAGATTTGATCTATGGTCCACTAAATAGTTGAGAATCTGGAATCATTTGGCCCTTAATAACTCAATTATTTGAGACTAGAGTGATGCAGCCACCTGTATGTAGTAAAGCACTCTAATAGCTCCACCGGTACATGGAATGAGTTTCTCTCTCTTTGCGTCTTTGCAATATTGGCCTTCAAAGTCATTCCAGATTTGCATTTATGCGCAATCAAAGATGAGAATCTGGAATGATTTCTTCCCTTAATAATCATTAATTGTGACTAGAGCGATGCGCCACCTGTATGTGGTAAGGCACTCTTAAACCTCCCACGGACATGGAATGAGGTTTCTCTCTCTTCTGTCTTTGCAGAATTGGCCTTCAAAGTCATTCCAGATTGCATCTATGGCCCAAAATAGATGAGAATCTGGAATGATTTCTTCCCTTAATAACTCATTAATTGTGACTAGAGCGATGCAGCCACCTGTATGTGGTAAGGCACTCTTAAACCTCCCACTGGTAATGGAATGAGGTTCTCTCTCTTTCTGTCTTTGCAGAATTGGCCTTCAAAGTCATTCCAGATTTGCATCTATGGTGCACTCAAAAGATGAGAATCTGGAAGATTTGGTTCCTTAATAACTCCTTGATGCTTGTACCTACAGTGATGCAAACCTGTCCCTGATACCGGAGTCTTCCACCTTTTATTGACACTTGAAATCAACCCGTTCCTTCAACCAGTTGTTGAAATATCAGCCTCTGAAGTGAACCCAAAATGGCATCCATATAATGCAAAAGATGAGAATCTGGAATCATTTTGTGCCTCAATAACTCATTGACACTTTTACCTAGGAATGCGGACACCTGTATGTGAAACAGCAGTCTTCAAGCTTTAAGCGGTACTTGAAATCAACCGTTCTTGCAATTAGTTCTTGATATATCAGCTTTTGAATTGCACCCAAAATGTCATCCATAATGCAAAACAGGAGAATCTGAAATCATTTGGTCCCTCAATAACTCATTGATTCTTGTAGCTAGAATGATGCAGCAACCTGAATGTGATCCAGCAGGCTTCAAGCTTTTATTGGCAATTGAAATGAACTCCTTCCTTCAATCAGTTATTGACATATCAGCTTTTGAAGTGCACCCAAAGTGTATTCGATCCTTTGGACTTGAGAATATAGAATGTTTTGGTTTCTTTATTAGCTCATCATCACTTGTGCTACTTGAAACACAGGCAAGGTCACAAATCCCTTTTCACATCCTGTTCATGAATACTGGAACGGAAGAAATTAACCCACAGTACTGGTGCAAGGCAACTCCAAATGGCAGAGACGTGACCATACCTTTTGGTTGTGACATGCATGCATCCCGCATAGGTAAATACGGTGCCACAATAAATTTTCTCAGTATGAAAGTTTGTAATGAGTGACAGTTAGCCACACAGACCCAGGTAAGAACACAAATGGCATTAATCGTTGCCCTGATTTCTGCAGACACCATATGGGCATCGCCATTTAGGTACTTGGACCCAGACCACTCTCCCTCTGTCTTTAAAGTGCTAGCCTTTCATGTAACTCCAGATTTGCATATTTAGCCCACTAAATGGATGAATCTGGAACCATTTGGTGCCTTACTAACTCATCATTACATGTGCCTACAGTCATGCAGACACCTGTCCTTTATACAGGAGTCTTCCAACTTTTATAACTACTTGAAATAAAACCGTTCCTTCAATAACTTTTTTGAAATATCAGCCTTTGAAGTGGACCCAAAATTCCATCCACGTAATGCAATAGATAGGAATCTGGAATCATTTGGTCCCTGAATTACTCACGGATATTGCGTCTAGAATTGTGGATACACTTGTATGTGATACAGCAGTTGTCAAGCTTCTACTGGTACTTTGAATCAACCCGTTCCGTCAATCAGTTTTAGAAATAGCCTTTGAAGAGCACCGAAATTTCATCCATATAATGCAATACATTCAAATCTGGAATCACTTTGCCCCTAAAAAACTCATCATTAATTGTGCCTGGAGTGATGCAGCACTGTATGTGATAAGGCACTCTAATAGCTCCCACTGGTACTAGAATCATTTTCTATCTCATCTGTCTTGAAAATATAGCCCTTCAAACTGATTCCAGATTTGAATCTATGGTCCACTAAATAGTTGAGAATCTGGAATCATTTGGCCCCTTAATAACTCATCATTATTTGAGACTAGAGTGATGCAGCCACCTGTATGTGGTAAAGCACTCTAATAGCTCCCACCGGTACATGGAATGAGGTTTCTCTCTCTTTGCGTCTTTGCAATATTGGCCTTCAAAGTCATTCCAGATTTGCATTTATGCGCAATCAATAGATGAGAATCTGGAATGATTTCTTCCCTTAATAACTCATCATTAATTGTGACTAGAGCGATGCAGCCACCTGTGTGTGGTAAGGCACTCTTAAACCTCCCACTGGTACATGGAACGAGGTTTCTCTCTCTTTCCGTCTTTGCAGAATTGGCCTTCAAAGTCATTCCAGATTTGCATCTATGGTGCACTCAAAAGATGAGAATCTGGAATGATTTGGTCCCATAATAACTCCTTGATGCTTGTACCTACAGTGATGCAAACACCTGTCCCTGATACCGGAGTCTTCCACCTTTTATTGACACTTGAAATCAACCCGTTCCTTCAACCAGTTGTTGAAATATCAGCCTCTGAAGTGAACCCAAAATGGCATCCATATAATGCAAAAGATGAGAATCTGGAATCATTTTGTGCCTCAATAACTCATTGACACTTTTACCTAGAATGATGCAGACACTTATGTTTAAGTGTTACTTGAAATCAACCCGTTCTTTCAATTAGTTCTTGATATATCAGCTTTTGAATTGCACCCAAAATTCATCCATCATTTGGTCCCTCAATTACTCATCAATACTTGGAGTGATGTAGCCACCTGTTATTGAAACAACAATCTACTGACAACTTATCATTACATTTACTTATAAAGAGCAGAACAACTTTATAAATAAATGGCCCAAATATGAGGCAGACACAAGCATGTTGACTGGTCTGTAAAATTTATTAAATTAAATTCTGCTGAGATCTGCTTAGAAATTTACATTATTGCATTATAAAAAAAACTCAAAACTTATGTGTGCATGTCTGTGCATGTGCACCTGTGTGCTTGTGTGTGTATGTATGAGCATGACTATGTAACGAAAAGACTAAAATTACAAACATAAAAATCAAATCAAACAAATCAAAGCGTCAGCATTCTTTCTCCTTTTAAAGATAAAAGAACTTATTACTCAAAACTCTTAAACATGATTATTCCCAACCAGAGCTAATCACATCCTTCGGGCACTGTTTTTTACTGTCCTGTAACAAGGGACATGAACAAACCCTAAACACCTCTTCTTATGGGGTTCGTGGCATAAACTCCTGGGTCCACCTGCAAATTAAATTCTGCTGAGATATGTTTTTAGGTTAAATTTACATTATTATTGCATTATAAAAAAAAAAGTCAAAACATGTGTGCATGTCTGTGCATGTGCACCTGTGTGCTTGTGTGTGTATGTATGAGCACGTGTGTGAACGACTATGTAACGAAAAGACTAAAATTACAAACATAAAAATCAAATCAAACAAATCAAAGCGTCAGCATTCTTTCTCCTTTTAAAAATAAAAGAACATATTACTCCAAACTCTTAAACATGATTATTCCCAACCAGAGCTAATCAAATCCTTCGGGCACTGTTTTTTACTGTCCTGTAACAAGGGACATGAACAAACCCTAAACACCTCTTCTGATGCGGTTTGTGGCACAAACTCCTGGGTCCACCTGCATGATGGGTTTTTGAGCACATGCCAGGTCCGGCCTGGCTAGGGCTTCTTCACCTCCTTTGCTTGGGTTTTTGGCATCTGGTCTTTTGGTGTTTCTGGTACCAACTCTGGTGTCTCCTGGATCGTAGGAATTGGAAAATGTCCTGGCTCCAGTCCCGGGGGTTTGTTCAGCCTTATCTTGCATTTGTGGCATCCGGTTGGGAGTCTGCTGCAGGAGGTTCACGGGTTCTGACTCTTTCCCTGGGACCTGCTCAGTTGGGGGCGCTGACACACTATCTTTGGTCTTGGCAGTGAGGGGCTCCATTTCTATTCAGTAATTGCTGAATCTGGTTGAACTAGGAATTAGAACACAATCATAAGAATACAAAATAAAGTTTTTTTCATTTCATTTAATGAATCAAGTGGAAGGTAGATTGACATTTGGAAATAAAATTTACATTCCAAATTTTCATCTATGTCATTGAAGTGATCGTTTTCAACAGAAAAAGCAACAAAATTACTTTAAAAAAGTGAGGGGCTCCATTACTTTTCAGTAATTACTGAATCTGGATGAACTAGGAAGTTGAACACAAATATAAGAATACAAAATAAAGCTGCAAGCTTTTTTAAAATTTCATTTCATGAATTAATTGGAAGGTAGGCTGAAATTTGGAAATAAAATTTACATTCCACATTTACATCTATGCCAAACAAGTGATCGTTTTATCAGAAAAAGCAATGAAATTTCCTTTTAAATGTTAAAAATGCATAAAAACCTGATACTGGCATTTTTCTCACTGAAATACAACAAAATAGACCAAGTATCAACGCTTTTAGCATGAGAAACTCGATAAATTACAGAGCTGACACTTTCTCACCATGCGGTCCGTGCTCCTGCTGCAGCTTCTACTTCCTGTTGACAGAGGAAGTCCATGTTTTCATCTACATGCATTCATTATACTATAGATTGAATCACGGAAGGTAAGAACATTGTTGATTAAATTTAAACATGGAAACTTGTTTCATTTTTTTTTCTACTTCCTGTGACAAAGGAAGTAGAAAATTGTGATCTGGTTTTATGTTTCATGTTAATGGTTACTAAAATATTAAATACACAACACCTGCACATTCTGTATGAGTTTTAAATAATTATTTTACAATTTAATTCCAGGCTTTTCTAGTGGACCATTTCCCATGAATCTATGTCATCAAGCAGTGTTTAAGCTTTTATTGGTACGTGAAATCAACCAATTCCATTCCGTTTTTTTGAAGTGCACCCAAGATGTCATCCATCTTTTGCAATTGAGAATTTTGAATTTTTTGTGCCCTTATTAATCATCATCAAATTTCACTACAGTGATGCATCTACCTGTCCTGGATGCAACAGTCTACAACCTTCAATTTGAACTTTGAACGCAGGCAAATGTCATGACTGTGTTTGTTTATTGTGTGTATATTTGTGTTTTCTATGCTATAGCCTGTCTTATTTTAAGTAAACACATGGTGAGCATTGTAAAATCCAGTCAAATTCCTCATATGTGTACACATACCTTGCAATAAAGCCGATTCTGATTCCTATTCTGATTCCCCAATTCACATCCTGTGCATAATATATGGAATGGGAAAAATTAACTCACAGTGCTGGTGCTAGAAACTCCATATAGGCTGAAATGTGTCCAAACCTTTTGCTGTGACCACATAGGCAAATCAATATTCTCATTATGAAAGTTAAGAACAGATGGTCTTAAATGTTGCCCTGATTTGTGCAGACACCATGTGGGAATTTACTTTTTAGGTTCTTCAGACCACTCTCACCCTCTGTCTTTACATAGCTAGCTTTTAATTTATTTTCAGATTTGCATATTTAGTGCATTCAATAGATTTAAATCTGGAATCATTAGGTGCCTTACTAAGTCATCAACACATTTACCTAGAGTGGTGTACTCACCTGTATGTGATAAAGCACTCTAAAAGCTTCCAGTGGTACTCAGCCTAAATATAGGCTTTCAAAATGACTCCAGATTTGAATCTATGGCTCACTTAAAAGATGAGAATCTGGAATCATTTGGTTCCTCAATACCTCGTCGATACTTTCACTTGGAGTGATGCTGCCACCTGTTATTGAAACAGCAATCTACAGGCTTCCTTTGGTAATTGGAATCAGACTGCTTTCTCCATCTGTGTTTAAAATGTCAACTTTTGAAGTTATTCCACTTTTGGAAAAATGGATAACTCAATAGATGAGAATATGAACATTTTTCATCCTTGAATAACTACAAATTGTATAACCCTATAGTGTTGCAGTCACCTGTTGTTGATGCAAACATCTACAAGCTTCCATGGGTACTTTAAATAAGCTCATTAGGTCAATCTGACTTTGAAACAACAGCCATTGAAATACATCCACAATGTCATTCATCTAATTCATAAAATGAGAATTTTGAATTATTTGGTTTATCAACAACTCATCATTACTGGTAGCTAGAGTTATACAGCATCTACAAGTGTCTGTTGGTACTTGGAATCAGCCTGCTCTCTCCCTTCATCCTTTACATATTAGCCTTTGAAGTACTTTCAGTTGCTCATCTATGGCTATTCCAATATATAACAATTTAAAGAGCAGAGGGTCTTGACAACTCATCATTACATTTACTTGAGAGTGAGAATGAGCAGAACTATAAAGAAAAGGCTCAAATAAGAGGCAAACACAAGCATGTAGACTGGTCTTGGAAAAATTTACTTGAATAATCCTGCTGAGATATATTTTTTAAGTAAAATTTACATTATAATTAAAAGTAAAATGTGTGTGCATGTCTGTGCATGTGCGCCTGTGTGCTTGTGCGTGTGAGCAAGTGTGTGTGTAACAGACTACCTAGACCAACTTGCAATTTAACAAAAAGAGAAACTGTAAATTATAAACAAAAAAATTAAATAAATCAAAGCGTCAGCATTCTTTCTCCTTTTAAAGATAAATGAACATATTACTCTAAAACTCTTAAACATGATTATTCCCAACCAGAGCTAATCACATCTTTGGGGCACTGTGTTTTACTGTCTTGTAACAAGGAACATGCCCTAAACACCTCCTCTGATGGCGTTCTTGGTATCAACCTGCATGATGGGTTTTTGAGCACATGCCAGGTCCTGCCTGACTAGGGCTTCTGCACCTCCTCTGCTTGGGTTTGTGGCATCTGGTCTTCAGGCATTTCTGGTACCAACTCTGTTGTCTCCTGGATCATAGGATCTGGAACACACCCTGGGTCCAGTCTCGAAGGGGTTTGTTCATCCTTCTCTTGTGTTTCTAGCATCCAGTTGGGAGTCTGCTGCACGAGGCTCAAGGGTGCTGACACTTTCCCTGGGACCTGCTCAGTTGGGTACTCATCTGTGGTCTTGGCAGTGAGGGGCTCAGGCTCACTATTTGGTTCCTCCTGAACTTTCTGTGCTGCTTGGAACCTGGTGCTCTGCTCAGCCAGGTGCGCAGGTATGTTCTTTGGGTCGGCAAGGGGTGCTTGCCTGGGCAGGGCATTGGAAAGATTTGCTTTGATGAGATAATAGTCAGCAACTACTGGCTGCAACTTCTCAATTACACAAAAACACTTTGAAGGTGTGTAGACATGTATTTTTGAGACTGCAGATTCTTCACTTAAGAAATCCAACTCCCTCCTGGACGTGAGAGGAGGAGCAGGAGGAAGGCTGTTCTGAAAAACAAAGAAATAAAACATAAACAGCTACAACTTCAAAATCAATCCTATGGCCAGATTCTACCTTGCATTAAGTACTTACTTGAGTAGAAAGACTGCTCTCGATCTTGGGAAAGATGAATGTGCCCTTCATTCCACAGTCTGCCCAAGCCAGATGAAGGAAGTTCTCGGCCTTAGCGATCTTTTTTCCAAATGTTGTGTGGAAAACATAATCACTGGTCTGACCCTGGGGACAGCACTTGGAGTTGACAAGGTTTTCCAGCCACCTAAATTCCTCCTCATTTAGGTTGAATGCAGCCTGACCAAATGACTGCATGGTTTTCTGGTCGTCAATCTTGAAAAATAAAACATGTCATCAATGACTGGTTGTTTTAGCTAGGGAGATCCCGCCACCTGTCTTTAATACAGCAATTCAGACATCTAAAAGCTTGCATTGGTACTTGGAAACAAACTGCTCGCTCCTTCTGTCTCAAATATCAGCCTTCAAATTGATTGAATTAAATCAATGGCCCACCAGTAATAAAAAAAACAAATGAGCAGTGTTTCCACATTATTTTATCACCAGAATTTATCTATTGTTTTATTTAAAATGTTTGCTGCCATTTTTATTTTTAAATTAGAAATTTTTTTGAAACTGCTTTAACCCCTCAGCTTTCACTTGAAATGTGCACTAAAGTTGGTTTCACTTAGGAAGGGATGACATGTAGTCCAGGTTAAAAAGTCCAGCCCAGCGTAAATAACCCCCCGAAAAATAGAGGTACTAACCAGAACTTGGAATCTCTTGCCATGATTCCAACAGACAAAGTTGACCACATTTTCCTTCTTCATGTTGGTGAGGACAACCGATCTGTGTCCGGTGAGGATGCACAGGTAGCCCATGATGTAACCCATTAGCTTAGAATGCTCATTCTTCTGATTTCCACTGCTCTCCAGTTGTTCTACAAAACATCGTGAAAAAAAATGTTGGTTGTGAATGTAAGCAACCAAAACAAAAAATAAAAAATAAGTCTACATACCAAACAATTTAGGAATGTTTTCCCTCGCAGCTGTCATGAAAGCACTTTGCTGAACTGCATGAAGCTGATCATCTGTGAAAACAATGCAACATACACCACAGTCATTGAGGATCCAATCTGAAATTTATTTAGATAACAAGACAAAAAAGAACTTGACAAAATTTACCTGTTTTACGACACAACCGCTTTTGCCGAGAATGAACCCGTAGTCTTTGAATCTCAGCCTGGATCCTCGTCAACTCGTGCAGAATTGTTTTTAATTCATTCTGTTTGAGCTTGCCTTTACTCAGGAAGGACTTTTCAATGTGCTTGAAAAACATTGTCACGTTGGTCAACATGTTTTTCATTGTTGCAGGTTCGTAGCCCTTCTGGACCAGGTATGTTGGCCAACTATGGAAAAAGGTAAGCAGTTGCAATCCACTCTTACTTTCAAGTCCACCATCACATTTGACATTTCATATTTACATCTATTTCACAACATCAGAGATCACAATTTGGAATCCATCGATAATATTTGGGGAGAAATTTGTGCCTAAATCTAAAAAAAATATATAATATTTCTGGGCCAAGAAAAACACTTGCCCACACAACTTGTCCATTTGGTTCAGGAATCTTAGGTCACTGGAGACAATCTTGGAGGGTAGACCAGCAGCCATGTAGAGGCAAAAGTGAAGAGCATGGCCTGAAGACCTCCTTGCATTGCTCCTGTCCTTCTGTCCAGTCCGTGGCCCCAGGCGAAACTTGAAGAAGTCTTCAACAACCTTTTCTGCAAAACAAACGTGAAAAGGGAAAGAAACATACTAACAAAAACCATCTCTCTACTCTCTCCCCCAAATTGTAATAAAAAGAATGAATAACTTACCATAGAAACAAGAATCCTTCTTTCCCTTGCCGACATGCTCACTGTTTTGAACAGATAGAGGTGCTTTAAATGGAGTGGGTTTCTCTTGCTGAATTTCCATCAAACACTCCACCTTTTTTTCCAACTGCTGCAACCTGGAATCCAACTTCTCCCAGTTGGACGTGCAGTCCCTTGACATTGAACCAGTCGAGTGATGAATATGGCCACTCAAGTTCTCCGGTAGGTTAAAAGAAGTCACAGTCTCACGTGAAGGCGGAGACATGGATGCACATAGGGCGGTGGAAGGAATTTGGTGACTGGTAGAAGAGTTTTTGGCCCCAGAAACAGGGGTGGAAGAAAACTGTTGACCAATTTGTTGATGTGGGTGATTGGAGGAGGACAAGGTATGAACGCGATCCTGTCCTTGAGGTGTGGGGGAGGGGCATTGGAAGGCACAATGTATTCCAGTCACAGGATGGTTTGTGGGTGTTGAACTGATACTCAAGGCCTCCTCCTCCTCCCTGAACTCTGATCCCTCTGGCTCCTCCGACAGTTCCTCAGAAACAGCCTCCTCAATGATCTCTCCAATGGGCAGAACAAACTTCTCTAAAATAAAGTGTAGGAGATTTGTAAGTTTAAACCCTTGGGTTCCAAATTTCAGTCTATATGTATTATATTTGCTTGTCACACAGAAGCCCCTAGATTTTGAATAGGATATGATGATGTAAGCATCCTTTTCAGTGCCCGTATCAAATCAATATATATATCGTAATATTAAGACAATTTAAAATTACCATGTTCAGTGGTAACACCCAAGTCCAAGCTGGATACAATGGGCACATCAGGGTTGGACTCACGCAGTTCTGCCAGCTCTTTAACTATGACTGCTCTCTTGGCCTGCTTCATGATCGGTTCTCGCTCCTTTCAACAATTTTTTTCATGACATCAAAGTATCATTAGATGGAAAAACATGATTTACAACAGATTTTGCAGACTTTATTGTCACAAATTGAATATCCTACCTCTGCTGAACCAATTTTGTGTGCTGTTTGTAAGTGTTTATCAAGGCGGACGAGATTTCTCTTCCCACATATTGTGCATTCCAAGGATTTACTAGTTCTGTTTTGGGAAATGGGGAAAAAAAGCTTTCAGGAAATCAGTGCAAATAACAAAAATTAAGAAATATATAAAAACATTTATCTTGATCGAACCGTGAATTTCCATATTGCATCAGAAGCTGGAACTCTTCTTTGTTTGGAATGGTGTGGTAGATTTTAAGGTGTTGCCTTAAGTAACTGACGTTTTTGTAACACAGCCCGCACAGTCGCTCACTCTGTGAAAGATTAAAAATAGCACAAATAAAGCTCTGTATCATCAACAAACCATCATAAAATGCACACCCTACTGATATACACTTACCATCCTTCCAACCAGGTAATGAAGATCTCCTGTTAGACCTCTGCATTTAGAGGAAGTAAGAAAGACAAGTGTTAAAAAATGTTCAAACCTGTTCAGGAGGACTGCTAAAATAACTTTTAAATGTGTGATTTTTTATATTAGCAATTGTTTATTGACATCCTTTGCCACCTGTTTTGATATACTGAAAAAGCTTTCATTTCCTGACATGATTCTTGAACTTAATGTCTAACACAGTGCATGTCAAACAGGTTAATCTTTTTTAAAACTCTTTCACACTCTTACAATAATTTTATCAATAGCTTTCGGAAACATTTCCGCCTTCTAGACTCCATATCTGTCTCTTCTCGGCCCTAGACGCCCTTCTTTCTGGCTGTCCTTTCATAACTGGTGTAGGATTCTGCTTGTTCCTTCTTTTTTTGACTTTATTTGTAAAATCCACAAAATCCAGAATGAGTGGCAAAGGCAGAAACCTACCACAATAACTTAAAAATGTATAATACTGCATTTAAGTAGTTGTAAAAGTAGAAAATGTTTAATATATATTATTTTCATATTTTAATATATGAACGAATTGGAAGGTAGATTGAAATTTGGAAATAAAATTAACATTCCATATTTACATTTATGTCATAACATTTTCTTTTTTAACAGAAAATGCAATACAAAATACTTTTTAAAAGTTTAAAAATGCATAAAAACATGACATTGGGATGTTACTCACTGAAATAAGACAACACCAACCAAGTATCAACACTTTTGTATGAGACAAATCTAAAAATATTTGAGAGAGCTGACACTCACCATGTGCTGAGTGCTCCTGCTGAAGCTCCTACTTCCTGTTTAAAGAGGAAGTCCAAGTTTCCATCTACATGCATTCAATACACAATAGATTGAATTGATTAAATTTAAACTTGGAATTTATATTTTCTTTTTTCTATGTCCTATGAAATAGGAAGTAGACAATTTGGATCAATTTACAACATGAAAAACAAACAATAAGGCAGAGGCTTAAATAAGCTTCACTTGGCACTTGCAATGATCTATGTCAATCTGTATTCTGAGAGTATTCTGAGAGACGCACTTATCCAGCTAGAAGATCTCAACCTTTCTCACCCCTCACCCCTGTGGCTTAGCCCCCAATTTACTACCAACTGATGTCTTTGATTTTTAACTGATCCGCTCTCACCTTGATAATACAATGTCTCTATTGTCTTGTCCACTTGAAGGTGTAGCCTCATGTGGCTACATTGGCATATGATTATATGTATTTGTTTGGACTAGCTTACCTGGCATCGCCCTGGCCTCCAGCACCACTGTGAGGAATCTTGGAGTTATCTTTGATCAGGACACGTCGTTTAAGTCTCACATTAAGCAAATTTCAAGGACCACCTTTTTTCACCTACGTAATATTATGAAAATTAGAAACATCCTGTCTAAAAATTATGCAGAAAAACGAGTCCATGCATTTGTTCCTTCTAGGCTGGATTATTGCAATTCCTTATTATCAGGCTGCTCGAAAAAGTCCATTAAGACTCTTCAGCTGATCCAGAATGCTGCAGCACGTGTTCTGACAGGAACCAGGAAAAGAGATTACATTTCTCCTGTCTTAGCTTCTTTGCATTGGCTTCCAGTAAAATCCAGAATAGAATTTAAAATTCTCACCTACAAAGCTTTTAATAGTCAGGCACCATCTTATCTTAAAGAGCTCATAGAACCCTACTACCCCACCAGAGCACTGCGCTCTCAGAATGCAGTCTCCAAAAGTAGACTAATAGCCAGAGCGTTCAGCTATCAAGCTCCTCTCCTGTGGAACCAGGTTCCAGTTTGGGTTCAGGAGGCAGACACCATCTCCACATTTAAGACTTTCCACTTTGATAAAGCTTATAGTTAGGGCTGGCTCAGGTTAGTCCTGAACCATCCCTTAGTTATGCTGCTATAGGCCTAGACTGCCGGGGGATTTCCCATGATGCACTGAGCTCCTCTCTCCTCTACTTTCTCTCCCTCTGTATGCAACCTCGTCCCATTATTGCATGTTACTAACACAACTTCCCCCCTTTCCCGTAGTCTTGTGCTTTCTCTTCCCTGCCCTCTCTCCTCCTATCACTTCCTGCAGGTGTTTCTGGCTCTGGAGCTGTGGAGTCTGGATCTGTGTTCCTGCTCAACATGCTTTGCTGCAATTATTGTTACTAGTCCTATTATTATTATTGTTATTATAATCATTAACATTACGATTATTATCATTAACAGTACTGTAAATATCTGTATCACGTTTCATTTAGTCTATAGCAACATCATCTTTACTGTCCGTAGCTCTGTGTGTATATTGTATAGGCTGCATCCCTTCTCTCTCTCTCTCTCTCTCTCCTTCACCCTCAATCGGTCGAGGCAGATGGCCACCCACCCTGAGCCATGGTTCTGCCTCTTAAGAGGAAGTTTTTCCTTGCCTTTGTTGCCTAGTGTTTGCTCTTGATTGGAATTGTTGGGCATCTGTAAATAACATCATAGAGTACGGTCTAGACCTGCTCTTTTATGAAAAGGACTGTGAGATAACTGTTGTTGTGATTTGGCACTATATAAATAAAATTGAATTGAATTGAATTGAACCTATACAACGAGGATTCTCATCCCCACTTGGCTGCTTTTTCAGCCCGTTCAAGAAATCATAATAACAAATTGGTGTTGACACCAACACAGGTAACAATGAGGATTAAGAACATGTTATTATGATTTGTGTTTTCCTGGAATGCCCTGTCTACCCACCAGGCAACTCCAAATAGCCTGAAAGATGCTCATATTCCTCACCAAACATCTACAAGCTTCCTCTGGTACTTGGAATCAGGTTGCTCTCTCCGTCTGTGTGTAAAATATGGGCCCTCAAAGTGATTCCAGAATTGAATCTACAGGCCCAATCAATAGATGAGAATCTGGAATGATTTGGTCCCTTAATAACTCATCATTACTTTTACCTCAAGTGATGCAGCTACCTTTCTTTGACACAGAAATGTAGAAGTTTACATTAGCATTTGAACAGCCTGCTCTCTCCCTCTGTCTGATGCCACAGTTGTGTTCACTGAATAGATGAAAATTTGGAATTATTTTGGCCATTAATAACTCATCATTACTTATACCGATAGTGATGCAGCCACCTGACTTGTACCTAGCATGATGCAACTACCAGTCTTCGACACAGCAATCTACAATCTTCTATTGGTTGGAATCAACCTGCTCTCTCCTTCCATTGTTTACATACTAGCCTTTGAAGTACTTCCAGATGCTTATCCATTGCTATTTTCAAAAATAACAATCCTATGAACTGTGGGTCTTGACAACTTACCATTACATTTATTCTCAGAACAACTTTGAAAACTAAATAAAAAATTAATTAGGAGACAGACAAGCATGTAAATTGGTTTCTGAAAATTTTACTTTCAACAATTTTGCTGAGATATATTACATTTTTTAAGTTCAGTAAGTATGATCAAAATAAAAAGTGTGTGTGTGTGTGTGTGTGTGTGTGTGTGTGTGTATGTGTGTGTGTGTATATACGTGCATGTTTGCCTGTGCATGATTTGTGTGCTGAGTGTGTGAGTGTGTGAGCATGAATTTGAATCAGTCTAGTTTCTGTGCAATCTAACACAGACAAACTATAAATTTTACAAAAAATGTAAATAAATCAAAGCGTCAGCATTCTTTCTCCTTTTAAAGCTAAATAAATGTATATTACTTTAAAACCTAAACTTTTTAAAGATGATTATTCCTATCAATGGGTAATCACATCCAAGGGGCAATATGTTTTAGTGTCTTGAATAAGGGACATGCACAAACCCAAACACTTCCTCTGACGGTGTTTGTGGCACATTCCAGGCCCTACCTGGCTAGGACTTCTGCACATCCTCCGCTTGGGTTTGTGGCATCTGGTCTTCTGGTGTTTCTGGCACCAACTCTGGTGTCTCCTGGAATATAAGATTCAGAACACATACTGGGTCCAGTCCCGGAGAGGTTTGTGCATTCTTCTCCTCTTGCGTTTCTAGCATCCAGTCGGGAGTCTGCTCTAGGGGGATCAAGGGTGCTGGCACATTCCCTGGGACCTGCTCAGTTGCGGGCACTGACACGTAATCTGTGGTCTTGGCAGTGAGGGGCTCGGGCTCGCTACTTGGTTCCTCCTGAGCTGTCGGTGCTGCTAGGAACCTGGCGCTCTGTGCAGGTAGGTTCTTTGGGTCGGCAAGGGGTGCTTGCCCAGGCAGGGCATTGGAAAGATTTGCTTTGAAGAGATAATACTCAGCAATTGGTTGGTGCAACTTCTCAACAACAATAGCACACTTCGAAGGTGTGTAGATATGTATTTCTGCAGATTCTTCAGTTAAGAAATCCAATTTCCTCTTGGACTTGAGAGGTTGCGCTGGTGGAAGGCTGTCCTGTGATGATGTGGGAACCTCATAGCTGGAGGTTATTCTCGCCCTGCTTCTTGCCTTGGAAGGCCTTCCACGTCTTTGACGCATAATCCTTAACTCCTCAGATGACAGTGAAGAGACGGACTCGTGGTCATCGTAGATTGGCTCCTCATCCTCTGTGCTTGTCTCTGGTGTGTCGTCTGATGAAGTATCAGTTATCTTTTCATCCTCTTCAGAGGGTTTTGCAATGGCCATCTTTAAAGCCTTTAGTCTCAGCCTCCTCGTCTCATATCCTGTGACTTTGTCTGGCAGAGCCACATAAAATCTCTCTGCCGTGCTGGGGTCATGGCACATGGCTTTTGCCACCTGTTTTCTCTCCTTCTCAGATAGGTATTGGTTGGCCTGGAAACCCCAGCAAAGAAATAAAAAATTACCAACTATGACTTCAAAATCGATCCTATGGCTAGATCCTATCTTGCATTAAGTACTTACTTGAGTAGAGACACTGCTCCGGATCTTGTTAAAACTGATTGTGCCCTTCATTCCACAGTCCACCCAAGCGAGATGAAGGAAGTTCCCGGCCTTACCAATCTGTTTTCCAAGTGTTGTGTGGAAAACATAATCACTGGCCTGACCTTGAGGAGAGCACTTGCAGTTAGCGAGGTTTTCCAGCCACCTAAATTCCTCCTCATTTAGGTTGAATGCAGCCTGACCAAATGACTGCATGGTTTTGTGGTCATCAACCTTGGGAAATAAAATTCAGAAAATCATGATTTGTCTGAGTGGATGCACTTAAATTAAACAAAACAAATCACCAATAACTGTTGACTTGTAGCTGGGAGATGAGGCCACACGTCACATCTAAAAGCTTCCATTGGTACTTGGACTCAACATGCACTCTCGATTTGTCTTAAATATATCAGCCGTCAAAGTGATTCCAGAATTGCATCTATGGCCCACGCAGTAGATGAGAATTTGGAATCGACTGGTCCTTTAGTAACTCAGCACTGCATGAAAGTACAGTGGTGCAGCCACCTGTCTTTGATATAGCAAACTACAAGCTTCCATTGATAACTAGAATCAACCCATTCTCTCAATCAGTTATTGAAACACCAGCCTTTGAAGTACAACCAAAATGTCATCCATATAATGCATGAATTTGGAATCATTTGATCCCCTAATCCCCTTCTCATGATTACTTGTGCCTACAGACATGCAGCTACCTTTGATACAGCAGTACTTGGAATCAGTCTGCTTTCTCCTTGGTCTTGAAAATATAGGCCTTCAAAGTGATTCCATAATTGAATATATGGCCCACTTAATAGACTGGAATCTACTGGTAATGATCTCTAGCGTGATGGTGACACCTGTTTTTTCTTCCATTGCCACCTAGAACCAATCCATTCCCTCAATAACATTTTGAAATGACAGACTTTGTATTACACCAAATTATCATCTATTTAATACAATAGATAAGACTACTAATAAAACTACTTGCCTATGATACACTTAAGTAAAATGACATTGTAATAAACTTATGAACTTTTACTCGTGGGTCTAAGTGAAATGTGTAATTTTTTTGTTGAAAAAGCCAGTCCTCAATTAAAAACATAAGTTGTGCTCTTGAGTGGTATGTTTACAACCCAAATCCCATCCCCAGATAGTAAAAAGATAGTAAAAAACAAATGAACAGTGTTTCCACATTATTTTATCACCAGAATTTATCTATTGTTTTATTTAAAATGTTTGCAGCCATTTTTATTTTTAAATTAGAAAATTCTTTGAAACTGCTTTAACCCCTCAGCTTTCACTTGAAATGTGCACTAAAGATGGTTTCACTTAGGAAGGGATGACATGAAGTCCAGGTTAAAAAGTCCAGCCCAGCGTAAATAACCCCCCGAAAAATAGAGGTACTAACCAGAACTTGGAATCTCTTGCCATGATTCCAACAGACAAAGTTGACCACATTTTCCTTTGTCATGTTGGTGAGGACAACCGATC